ATATATATTCCATCTCACCTTCCATGCTTACTTGGAAAGTTCACTGGCACAGCCACCTGAAGAAACCCTGAAGGCCAAGCTGGCTGCTAAGGAAGTGCCCCCACTTTAGCATTCCATCTTATGTAAATGCACCATATAAGCTGCGGGTTCTCTGAGGAAGACCAGAAAGAATCCAGCTCAAAGGAACTGGGCTCATTAGGGTAAGGGGGGAAGCATTTTAAGATGAAGGGACCACACTAGATGCCAAGAAATATGATAGGGAGGGACTCAGAGGTTTGAGGACAAATCACCTTGAGCTGGCCAAGCCCAACTAAGTCTTATGATGGAACAATTCTCAGAAACCTGTCAAAGTTCTCACCATCTTTGGGAATTAGACCTGACAAGTTAGATCTTACTTATTCAGTAGTTCATACTCTTGTCAAAATCAGCAAAAATCTTTGAAAGAAAAAACCCTACATTTGAAATGCACAGAAGTCTTATTTGTTTTCTCTCAGATTTTTATAGAACTTTCTCGTTGAAGTCACTCTCTCAATTCCAGATACATTTTAATTTCACTTTTTTAAAACTGAAAAATTACAACTATGATATATTTATTGAACAGAAACAAAGGCTAAGGGGTAGGTAAACTTTCAGAGTAAAAAAAAATTAAAAAACTAACAAGTAATTTAAAATCATATTCTATTAAAGCCAACCCTAATGTTTACCTAAGTAAGGCTTTCTTTTTATGGCTCTAGCTGCTCTATGTTTTTTTTTTGTTATTCAAGAAAAATTTTATGTTTACCTTCTTTCTCTTTAAGGTTATTTTAATCTACTTAGGGTAAGCTATTTCTTTTAACAGTATAAAAATCTGTCAATAATAAGTCTATATGAAAAAGTAAAACGATTCCTGGACATGTTTAGTTATTTTTAAAGATTTAACCACAAACTATACTGGGTTGTCATTAAATTTTAAAATTAGTGTTGTAGCTTTTATGACCATTTCCTCTTTGAGTATAAATTTCATTCTATAACACTTTATTGAGAAGGAAGATCTTCCAATTGCAGCCCTGGAGCAGAGGCAGGAACTTCCGAGCTGCTTATTTCATTTCAAATAAGCATTTCTATTTTCTCACTACTACCCTTGCCCCAGGCTAACTACTCCATTTTATGAACCTGAACATTCAATGGCTTACTTTTGACTAACAGCCACAGGTTAAGTCAAGCAGCGTATAACTTGAATGCAACATCGTGTGCATTCAGTTGCAATAAGCTAAGCAACTTAATCCTGCTTCTATGTATACCATAGCCCCTCATGGCAATTAAACTAACATGAACCCATCTGTGAGTTATTGTTTATTTTTAAAGAAAAAGGATAGGGGTGGATTGTGAGTATGTATGCTGGGGCTAGAACTCATGGCCTTATTCATGCTAAGCACACATTACCACTCAACCACATCCCCCAGCACTAAGAAAGAAGGTTCTTACTAAATGGAATCTGATTTCTCTGTATAGCCTGTAGTAATCTACACATTTCAATTGCTTCTGATATTTAAAGTTGAACTAAAATCATTTATTAAATATTTGAAAATATGAGATGTTTTCTTTCACAGCCAGAGATGTAAATTTTCTTTTCTTTTCTTTTTTTAATTGATTTTTATTGAGCTCTACATTTTTCTCTGCTCCCTTCCCTGCCTCTCCCTTCCCTTTCAACCCTCTCCTAAGGTCCCCATGCTCCCAATTTACTCAGGAAATCTTGTCTTTTTCTACTTTTCATACTTCTAAAGTCAGGCAAAGTGTTAAGAATGGAGCAGGTAGCAAGCTTTAAGAGACAAGATCACTGGTTTGTCTCAGGACTGATTTGTCCTCAGAGTCTAGCAGTTTTTTTTCCTATCATAGAATTTTCTAAGACTTCTTGGGCACTAGCAACAAAGCCTAGAAACTCCCATGAACTCAAGAAATGCCTCCTAACATTTGGGAGAATGACTTCTGACAAATGTCTCCTAAGCTTTTTCTTCTGGGACTTTCTGAGAGTCAGCTAAGAGCTGCAGGAAGTGTATACAGAAAAACCTCATATATTTTCACAAAATTTGTTGACTGGATCTTAGGAAGTTCAAGAGCCCAGGGACATCCACCACTGTCGCAGATTTCTGGCTCCTCATAGTCTTGTCCAACTCATGGCCCACAGACCACATGAAGTTGGAGAGAGCCCCAGCACAAAATCAAAAAGTTACATTAGACGATATGAGATTGTTTTGTGATTTTCAATTGGATTGCACAGTTCTCAAGCATGAACTTTGTAGATGACAATAGGTTGGACAAGCCCAGGTGAATAAGGATCCACAAATCAAGATCCCTCAGGCAAATCTGACCTGCCCCTATTTTTGTATAAAAAGCAACCTGCATTTTATATATTTTAATGCTTAAAAATATTAAAAGAATAATATTTAGCAACATGGAAATTACTATATGTTTACTTTGATGTCTATTCATTGATTTCAACGCGCTGCTTTGTAGACCTTTATTACAAAAAATTATGGAAATTTAATTCATCTCAAACACAAGAATTCTTAACACACACACATGTTTATACATATTACTCGGTGATTAACTATAGGGAGACAATAGTTGGAACCCTACCAAGGTAAAATTTGAATTACCCAGCAAATATTCTTCTTAAAGTACTCTGAAGCCCCTTTGAATAGTAAAGCAATTTAATAAAAAAATTCTCTCCTTAACCAGTTACCTTTTGATGGTCTTGATGAATTTCATATCTTAGCTATTGTGAACAGTGCAGCAATAAACTTGGAAGACAGTGTCTATCTCATAAAATGATTTGAGAACTAAAGTCTAACACAAATTTACGATAGTCCCAAGGTTCCCAGCACATGGAACATATAAGTGAGAAGATGAAAATGCTAAGTACACTGATTAGCATTTCACATTCTATGCATATGTAAAATTATTATAGTGTGCCTCATAAATATGTGGGTAAGTATACTTCTATTTAGAAATTAAGAAAATAGCAAAAATTCCTAAAGTACATGTGTCTAGTTTGTAAATACTTTTGGTACACTAACTTTTTAATTAAAATGAATTATTCATCAAGTTAGTATAAAGAAATGAAAATTAAATGTTATACCAAATCCATTGCTTTATCTTTCTAACAAAAGAGACCTACTTGTTTTCAGTAATATCCAACATCAGTTACAATTATTGATGGATACAAAAGATTTTAAGTGATTTAAATGATATCACAGCCTGAACCCCACAGAATAGTTGTGGCCTTCCTTCTCTGAACTTCTATTTAGAGGTAAAAGACTAAGCATTTTCTTTTACTTAAGGGTAAACATTTGTTAGCAATTTGTTGACTCAATTTTAATACCAGAAAATAGAGCCCTTAAATTTTACTAGCACTCATAATACCCCCCCCCTTTACTGTTCGTTTGAAGACATTTATGTTGTATAAAAGAAGTAAACCCTTTTAATCATCATCAGGCTTATTTCTGTCAGAAAATTCTGAAGAACAATGAGTACATGGTTGTAGTTTCTATCACATTCTACTAACTGTTCATGAAGGGAACAGCTGAGTAAACTGTGTAGCAGAATTTTTACTTGGTCACCTACTGAGTGATGTCCTCTGGGGACAGAAGCAGTCAAAAGGAAGGCTGCAGAAGGCCTATATAATTTCAAGACTAGTTAAATTGTACCTTAATAATTATGAGTTAACTTTATAAACAAATGAAAGCTGATAGTAGTGTTTCTATACGAATCATAAT